GCCTGGGGCACTGAGGTTGTGCCCCCCTGGACCGGGGACCGGTGGGGGCGGGAGGGGCGAGGGCCGTGGCGGGCTGCTTCCGGGCCTGGGCGGGCGTGCGCCCGGGTGCCCGGCTGCGGACCGGGAGCCTCTGGTGCGTTGGTGGGCTGTGGGTCTTACTGGCTGGGGGGCAGGTGTGGTTGGTGGGGGGCAGTTGGACCGCGGGTTGGGGGAGGTGGACCTAGCCTGGTTATCTAGTGTGTTATATGTTCTGAGAGGTATCTGAATGTTGGGGTGGGTGTAGAATTTGTTCTGGGGTGGGGATTGGGTGGATGGCCGTTGGTGCCGGCCAGGGGCAGTGCTTGGTCGGTTGGCTGGCCCTTCTGCTGCGGCGGGGCTTGTCTGGGTGCCGCCGTGCGCTGTCGACGGTTGGGTGGGTGCCTCGGCCGGATCGCCTGTTGGGGTTCGGTGGCCTCTTTGGGTGGCGGGCTGGTTGTGGGGCTGGGGGTCGGTTCCGGGGCATCTGGGCGGCTCTGGAGTGGGTGGACTGTGGGTTCGGGCTCTGGTGGTCCTCTGGGCTCTGTCCGGCCTTGGTCTTGGCCCCCAGGCCTGGCGGTGTGTCTGGACGAACAGCCGCRTGGGCCTCAGTCCCTGGATGGATCTCAGCGAGCGGGGGGGCCTACTGGAGTCAGCAGGGGAGCTGGCTCCCCGTGGGAGCATTTTTGCTCCCCCAGCAGTTTTTCTTCCCGTCTCTCACTACATACCCCCACCCTCTTCAATTACAACTTCATTCATGCAGGGTTCTGGGGAACAGGCTAGCTGCCTGGACCCCAATTTTATTACACACTCTAGACATCACTATAACATCTTCATGACATTCACATATAGGAAATGTGGGTTGGGGGGCACTCTATGACCACCGATATCTGTGCCCTCCCCCAATAGCTGCATGTAGACATTTAGGGGTTGGGGTGGAGTTGTGGTGGGGGGAAAACTGGTATCCCGCCAGCCTCTGCCCCTTCTTACTCTCCTTTTAACTACACTATAGAACAACATGCGTCAATAGCACATTTGAGGGTGTGGGTGTGTGAGTCGGGGTCTTCTTTTATTTATTTATTTATTTATTTCTCACTCCCCGTTTCCCGACTGATCTGCCAGGTGGGGGCCTGGACTGATGGTGGACTGGGAGCTTGGGGGGGCGCAGGGGGTTGGGCTTGCACTCTGGCTTCTCTGGAGCTGCGTGGACTCCAGGGATGCGGCTCCTGGTTGGTGTGGTCGGCCCGCTGGCCGGGGTGGTCGCCGGAACCCTGCGGGTGTCGGCTGGGGGTGTACCCCTGGCCACTGGCGGTGGTTGGGGGATCGTCGGGGCATGGCCTTGCTGGGGTGGGGGTGGCCGGTCGAGTCGGCGCGGTCCAGGCCGGGGCTTGGCCATCTGCTCCTCTCAACCCCAGGACAAATGGGTGTACCTCCTGGGTTCGGGTGTGGGCCGCCCTCTGTGGGGGGCGGGGGCATACCCTGGACCTGGGGGTTATAGAGTGTGTATCGAGAGTGTGAATGGAGTGTGGCATCTATTGTATGTCTTTGAATGAGTGGATGTGAGGATGAGGGTGGGATTGTATGATTGTGTTTGTGTATGCATGGGTATGTGTCAGGCTGGGACGTGGACTTCCCCCTCCCCTGGTTCGTTTGTCGCCCCCATCCCATACCGCCCTCTGGTGGGGGTGCCTTGCCCACTGGCGCACGGATGGCTCTTGGGGTCTGGGGCTGGGTGCTTGGGTGTGTGCTGGCTCGGCCTGGTGGCTGCCTGTCGGGGCTTGGGTCCTCTGGCCCTGTCGGCTCTCTGCTTGGGGGGGTGCGTCCTGGGGGCCGGGCCCTCTGTGCCTATGCCCGTGCTTGCCCTAGCGCAACGGGGGCTGGCGGGGGCCTGCGTGCTCGTCACTCCGGGCCACTGTGGGGCTGCTGCGTGTGGTCGCTGGTGGGGTTCTCCTGGGTCTCCCCTATGGTTTGACCTGGGGGTGGGTGTGCGGCTCTCCTTGCGTAGGTGTACCCGGGGGCCCGGTGCTTGGGGTTCCTGCTGGGGTCGTTGGCTTTGGCTTCCTCTTATGTCTGCCTTGTGCCTTGGGGGTCAGCTTTGAGACACCCCCACAGTCACTATTATACATTCCATTGGAGAAATCCTGTAAATTTATGCTTGCTCACAACCGCACGCAGACAGGTGTTCAGATCCGAGGGGTTCTGAATGATCACCAGGTATATATAGGTGGGTGTTTGTTTATCTGTCTGAATGTATATATGTATGCTTTCGCTAAGTTTTGTAATCTTAATTCTTTGCAGGTGTGCAGACAGATGTTGGATGGATTGTGTTTTCTTGACGTATATCTCACATATCATCAATTCTTTCTTTCACTTTTTTCCATTACATTGTAACTTTTCTTTCCTTTCCTTCTCTTTTCCTTTCTTTCGTCTTCTTTCTTGTCTATCTAAAAAAACACTGATGATGAAGAAGCTAAGATACTAATATTCAGATATTTAGTACTGCTTTCTACTGAAGTGGTTATAAGAGAAAAAAATACCTCATGTGTTAGCTAATTAAGCTGATCTGGATAGATGTTGACTATATTAGTTAAAAGTCAACCTATCACTTGTTTAAACCATATAAGTTTGAACTGGATCACAAAAACAGTGATAACAATTTAACAAAAATAAAGCTGGGCAAGAAAATAAATAAATAAATAAAAATAAACTATTCTTCAAAAAAAGGATAAAAACAGCGTTATTCATTGGTAAAGCAGCTCAGCTGGCAAATGAAGAAATTGAAGTCAATCATTTGACAATGAAGAAAACACTAAACAAAATGCTACATCCCAGACTCTACAAGCCTCAGTTAACATGTTAAATGTTGAAGTTAATGACTTTACAGTATCAAAGAAATAAAACTGTGTTGAAGATTTACAAGTAAAAAAGTACCTTATTTGAAGAAAGGGCATGGCAGCATGGCTTAGGTTAACAAATTTCCTCTAGACAAATTGCCAGACCACTGAAAAAATGTATTCTGGACAAACAAGATCAACACGACAGGAAACACAGCAATATCAGCTTCACCACCGAGCACCAACTGCCAAACAAAGTAGTGGAGCAGTGATGATTTGGACCCTGCAGGCTGTGGACCTGGTCATTTTTTAGTGTTTGAGTTTACTATAATGTTCTTGATAGTATATAAATAAATAAGTATTTTACAGTCAGCTTTGAAAGTTGGACAAAATTTCCTTCTTAACAAAAGTGATTAAAAGGATTATGTTGAAAATGATCAATTTAAAAATGTCAAAAATAGTTTTACAAGTTTTAAATAATGAGATGTGCTTCAGGTTCATTTTTGTTCATGCTTTTTTACTCACTAGTTTTCCATTATTGCTAATGATTATCTCCTTATAAAACAAAGTAAAAAAAAAACAACTTTTTCTGTCTATTGTAGGCTGCAGGGACCTAAAAGGCCCTGGAGGCCATGGTAAGGACCAGGGGTCGGATTTATAAAACTTGCGTACGCACAATTTGAGCCCAGAAACTTGCGTACGCCACTTTTTACGCCAAGGTTGTGATTTATAAAATCCAAACTTGACGTGAAAATGTGCGGTGCCTCACGCCAGCTCTGACCCATGTGTACGCTCATTTTGGAGACGTGAAACTGCGACACAGATGGTGAAGTGAGGAATTAGAGCCACACTGTGTAATGATCACTGTCAGATATTTAATTTACCTTCAGAATCAGACTTAAATAAAAGTTCCCGTGCGCAACTCCATTCATCTGCTTCCTCCTCAGACGACCCCGACCCACACAGACCCCTCCCCGATAAGAACAGCAGGACAGCAAAAGCTTTGGATACACGCGCAGGGCGTGTATCCAGTCCGTGTTTGTCACGCGCGCGCGCGGGGGATGTGTGCGTGTGTGTGTGCGTGCGTGCGCGCGCGGGGCGGGGGTCTGCCGCGGGTAACAGGGCAGGCAGGATGGGGAGAGGACGAGGAGAAGAGCGGGGGACTTATTCCTTATTTTACCTGACTTATTTAATTTAATTTTTATTGTTTTTATCGTCCTATAGGCTCTGACGGATAATTAATTTGAAGCTGAGGTTTTTTATTTTTATTTTTTAATAAAAATCGTTAGATTACTCTAAAGCAAAATGAGGGAAAATCTGTGTCAATTACAGACATTCTGTTCACGTGAGCAGCTGTCAGTCAGCACCTGTCATCCTCCAGACTCACGACAGAGCGCGTCTGAACCAATCAGTTTTGTTGGCATTGATCAGCTGACTGATTTAAATACATCTTAACATTCATGAGGTACTTTACATTGACTGTTTATGGTTGAATGTGGGCGTGTAGAGGGTAGAACCTGAGGCGGGACCTCGTGCGCAAACTCTGACGTGCGGCTGTGATTTATAAATGAAAGATGCGCAGAAACATGCATACGTACGGTTTTATAAATCTGAATATTTTTTGGCGTACGCCATTTCCGCCTTTTGGCCGTACGTTCACTTTTAGTATGGTTTCCACGCAATCCTTTATAAATGAGACCCCAGATGATTCAGTTACTTAAACATAAATACATTTCAAAACTACCAAAGGCACAATATCACTAGAGGTCATCAACACAATTTCAAGAGACAAAGTGTTTGAAATCCCTGGTACTAATGGCCAATCATTAATGTAATTGCTCATTGGTAGGCTAGATTTCATTTTCTCTATTGTTGGTATTATTTGTGTTTTCAGTAAATAAAGCAGCTGTGTGTAGATAAACATAAAAACACACCTTTGTAGTCTTGGTCTCACAGGTGTTGGTGAACAAAGAGTCGCAGGCTCCTTGGTCTTTTGCCACGTTGATACCAGTGGTGCACATGTTGTCCTCCAGGACTGTAACACAGCACTGCTCCTGCACTATCCTGCAGCAGAACACACACACACACACACACACACACACACACACACACACACACACACACACACACACACACACACACACACACACAAACACACACACCCAGGTGGTGCATTTACTCAGAGCTCTGTCAACAATCAGTTTGCAGCTAACCACTCAGCCTTAAAGTGTCCCCCATTAACTTTATCCTGAGGTAAGGCTCATGGAGATCTCTTGTCACAGTAAAAACTTGAGGCCAAATGGGTTCAGAGGAAATTCCTGGAAGCTTCCTGTGTTCATGTGTCAGCCATCAAGTCATCAAGTCAAGTAACATTTTGTCTTTTATCCACAAGACTTCTTCAGTCTGAGGAGCCTAAAGGTCTCCACTTACTCCCTCTGAAGCCAAACAGTCGACCTGCGGTCACGTGTTTGTTTGACATTTGTTTTCGCACACACCTTTCATGGCCCCTGAGACACAATGCGCCGAGCTCCAGTGAAAACCCTCCCACTGTGGCATATGTCACTGCACGGTGTTTCTTCTTGCTAGAGTCCACACTCCGGAAACAACCCCCAAAAAACTCAAATATCTGCCGTTATTTGTCCACAAATCTGTCTTCGTTAAAGCACCAGTTTTTGCCAGACAGACTTCTCCGTGCACAAAGTTTGTTATAACTTCTTGAGTTTTTGGCCATGTGACTATCTGATAAATGTCTGTTTCTGGGTCCAACAGTCAGTAGATGAAGCAAAATGCTGCAAATGCTGATTTCGGTAGTTTGGAGAGTGTGTGTGAAAGCCTAAACTCCATCTACTCAGACTGAAGAAGTCTTTTGGATAAATCACAAAACATTTCACCAATGAACAGAGGACCTGACTCCACCATGTTAGATGTTTTCCACTTGGACTTTTGAGCATGCATCAGGATGCTTTCAAATTTATGGCGTTCCATTTATGCCATCGGTTTGCGTGTGCAGTAACACAGATTTGAGAGCAGATCATAATATGAACAAACAATAATTTGAACCGTGTGCATTCAAATAACACACAGGCTCACGCAGCTCCCCTGCTGCTTGCTCAACTCTCTTCCTGATTGTGTTCGACTCCCTCCCTCCCTCCTCTCAACTTTGTGTCTGCTCGTGCGGCTCCTTCCCTCCCTCCTCTCATCCTCCCCTCTGTTCGCTCGCAGTGTTGTCTCTGTGCTCGCAACCCAAGTTGTATGTAAATGAATCACATCACCGGCCAATCACAGACAGGGTTTTTTCATCCAATCAAGGCACTTATTGCAAATCTACCAAACCAAGAGACGGAAATGACAAAATCAAATGCAGGCCCATTAAATCAGCAAAAGATAATAATAAGATATATTTTATATTTTTTGTAGCCCAAAAATATTTAGTTAAGCATACAAATATGCTTACTGTCATTGTGTATTTCAGGCAATGCATCTGTAATCCAGGTAAAAAAAAAAAACCACAAGTTTAACTATATTATCTTTTGGCAAAAGATAATATATTTAAATTTAAACATTATCTTTTGCCAAAAGTTAATATGTTTAAATTTTGTAGCCCAACAATATTTAGCAAAGCATAAAAATGTGGTCCCTGTCATTGTGAATTTAAGAAAATATTTTTAAAATACTTTAGGATTAGGATACTTGTTGGTTTTGATATTATTTGTAGATATTCAAATTAAGCACTCTTGATACAACAGAATATCAGCAATGAAGAGGGATTAATAAATTAATTTGAATATCTACAAATAATATTAAAACCAACAGTAATTATCTTAATGTAATTAAAACATATTGCCAATAAGAGCCTAATAATAATAATAATAATAATAATAATAATAATAATCATCATCATCATAATAATAATAAAAATAATTTAAAAAGTTAAGTTAAATTTATGTTTTTTTTTTCCTACCTGGATTACAGAGATGCATTGCCTAAAATATACAATGACAGTAAGCATATTTGTATGCTCAACTAAATATTCTGGGCTACAAAATAAATAAAATATATTTTATTATTATCTTTTGCTGATTTAATGGGCCTGCATCTAAGAATTTGTCACTTCAGCCTCTTGCACTCTAAAAATGAAATGTTGGATTTACTTAACCATGTTATGTTACCTGGTTCCACTTAACTGAGTTGAGTAAATTCAAAGCAACATACTCTTTGGTTCTTTGGTTAAAAAATGATATATTGCTTTGAAATTACTCAACTCAGTTAAGTGGAACCAGGTAACATAACATTGTTAAGTAAATCTAGCATTTCATTTTTACAGAGTGGTTTAGTGGATTTGCAAAAAGTGCTTTGATTGGATGAAAAAACCCTGTCTGTGATTGGCTGGTCATGTGGTTCGTACAACTTGGGTTGCGAGTGCAGAGACAGCTGCGAGCAAGCAGAGGGGAGATTGAGAGGAGGGGGAGGGAGCCACGCATCACGCAAAGTTGAGAGGAGGGAGGAAGGGAGTCGAGCACAATTGAGCAAGCAGGGAGGGAGCTGCGTGAGTGTGTGTGTTATTTAAATGCACACGGTTCAAATTATTGTTTGCTCATATTAATATCTGCTCTCAAATCTGTGTTACTGCGCTCGCAAGCCGATGGCACAAATGGAACGCCATACAAATTTACATTATTTTTGGTTATGAAAAAAAGCTAAGACAAAACTGTTTTTCCCCCTTTTCATTGCACCTTTGGAACAGTCTCAGGATGCTGAAGGCAGAGGACAGAAACAACTTAAGTATCAATCTCATCACATTATTGATACAATGCAAGAGTTGATATCAACATTTCGATCAATCTGCACAACACTGCTGGCTGCAGTCTGTGTCAGATTCAGACAAGCATAGATTTTCTGAGAAACTATTTAGATGGAAGTATACGAGTGAATTTGCTGCTAGATGAAAAAAAATTTAAAACAAGTAAAACATAAATATTAGGTATCAAGTGGGGAGCATCAGAAAAGAATATGTGGTTTTGTCCAGAGATTGTCCAGAGATTGCAGCTCCAATGGGCCAATCAGTTAAGATAAGCTAGTTGTTTCTGTCAGGTTTGGATTCATCTCACTGTAGTATTACTAAAAGCTGTTGCATCATCTTCTCCTTTTCAACAAACTGTCTCATAGGTTCTTACCAGCAATCTCTTTCCACATAAACTGCAGCAGATGTCAAACTCACATCAGCACACTGTCCTTCTCTACAGAACCTTTTAAGGCCATATTCATGCTCCTGGTTTTCTTTCTCTAGCATACTTTCTTCCTTCAGACGCTTAAGCAATTGTTCAAATTCCTGTTTTTTTTCCCTCTCTTTATCCTCCCACCATGTCACATTTCACCTCTGAGGTATTTTCTGAGTTTTAAACAATTGTTCTTCTCTCTCTCCACGATTTTCCATCCCCAAACATGCCCTGCTCCTTACACAAATAACTGATTTTACCTTTGTATCCTCAAACTATAGAGACAAATTTGGGATCACTTTTGGCAATATGGTAAATGTGTTTTCCTTCAGTTTTCAGAGAGCAGCTCCCTGACACCAAGGCTCTGAACCATTAGAACACCTTCTAAGGTTACCAGCAGAGCTGTAATTATCCCATTATTAGTAGTATTTCCAGCTCACATGTGAAGTGAATAATGTGTGCAGAGATTTATAGTAGTAAGGTATTATAATCTCATTATAAACACTTGAAGACATTTTCAACCAGCTGAAGACAAATCTCAAAGGTCCAAGCTGCATGAGCCTATGTAGTGCTGACAGATAGTGAAAGGCTCTGACAAAGGTTAAAGTTTTCAATGACTTGTAAACCTGGATCTGGATTCCCAGATCAACTATTCCTCTGGAGCCCTGTGGGTTTAAATCACTGACAGCTAACACTTGCTTACCTGCACGTGGTTGAGCCCGAGATGAGAGGAAGGGATGCACAATCTTTGTTCTCAGTTCCATAAGTCTGGCCATGTTTACAGCAATCATCTAAGGAGATGTTTTCTTCTCCTACGGACATGAACACAACACAAAATCTGGTTTAGGAGTGAAGACATTTTTAAAGAAGGCTCTTATACAACCTTTACAACCATATTTCAATAATTGAATTAAGACCCACTATTTACTGAAGTCATGCCTACTACCTCCCAGAGTTTTAGCAGATAATTTAAAGTTGCAAAATGACTGAGTAAAGGCCACTTTGTCCAAACTTTGAAAATAACACCACGTGCCATTACAAGCTCATTATCAGTAGTAGTGACCGCGTTATCTCTGTGTTTAGGTTAGCCATTTTAAATAAAAACTGCAAATAAATTGCAGAAATAAATGTAGCATTTCAACATGTCATTAAAATCTATTCAGAGATTCATAAAACATTTCGCTAACAGACAGATTGAAATATGTAATGGCAAATTTGTAAACAAAGATGTGATCAGTTATTGCAGAACATGTAATGGGTATAAGTCTCAGTTTGGGCTTCATAGACAACCAGTCTTGACAAGGAAGGTAAATATACTGGAAAATGTCCTGTGAATAAGCGCCTCTATGTCTGAGACCATGCTCTTGAGCCGGAAAAGGGTAGGGCGCCTTCTTCAGGTCGGGGAGGAGGTCCTGCCCCAAGTGGAGGAGTTTAAGTATCTCRGGGTCTTGTTCATGAATGAGGGAAGAATGGAGCAGGAGATCGACAGGTGGATTGGTGCTGCATCTGCAGTGATGCGGGCGTTGTACCGGTCTGTCGTGGTGAAGCGAGAGCTGAGCCAGAAGGTAAAGCTCTTGATTTACCTGTCGGTCTACGTTCCTACCCTCATCTATGGTCACGAGCTTTGAGTAGTGACCGAAAGAACGAGATCACAGATACAAGCGGAAATGAGTTTCCTCCGCAAGGTGTCTGGGCTCTACCTTAGAGATAGGGTGAGAAGCTCAGTCATCCGGGAGGGACTCAGAGTAGTGCCGCTGCTCCTCCACACTGAGAGGAGCCAGTTGAGGTGGCTTGGGCATCTGGTTAGGATGCCTCCTGGACGCCTCCCTGGTGAGGTGTTCCGGGCACGTCCCACTGGGAGGAGGCCCAGAAGAAAACCCAGGACATGCTGGAGGGACTTGGTTTCTCCGCTGGCCTGGGAATGCCTTGGGATTCTCCCAGATGAGCTGGCCCAACTGGCTGGGTTGAGGGAAGTCTGGGTCTCTCTGCTTAGGCTGCTGCCCCCGCGACCCAATCCTGAATAAGAAGAAAACGGGTGGAGATATGGACTATAACCAAAAGAACAAGTTGTGTCATCCAGGGGGAGATTAAAGTTAAGCTGTTTCTCTTCTGCACTGGAAAGAATCAGCTGAGGTGGTTGAAACATGTGATCAGCCATCTGGTCACTTCACCTTGGAAGTGTTTTGAGCAAGTCCCACTGAAAGGTGATGCCAGGAAAGACCCAGAACTTGCTGAATTGATTATATATTTCCTCTTTGGCCTGGAAACTCTTCGGTACCCCCCCACGATGAGCATGACAGTGCCTTCTGGGTAGGGGCGAGTGTCTGGACTTCTCTCCTTGAGCTGATACTTCCACAGCTTGGCTGCTGACAACTGGGTGCAAATCAATGGATGCATTTCATGTAGCAACTTTGAAACTGCTTTGTAAGGGACTTGGATAAGAGAACAAACCACTCACTTCTTGTAATCTGAATAATTCAGTTCAAATTTTCTAAATATTGATTAGTTTCAGGACAAAACATCAGAAAGATTTTTTGTCTTATGTGGAAGCTTTGTTCATTTTATGCACATTTAAGGCCAAATTTAGCCTGATTCCAGGACAGTAGCTGGGATATGATTATCCAGGGTAGTCAAAACTGGATGAAGTTCTTAATTTTGATGGAAAATTTCATAAAATGACAACTAAGAAATTATACTTTGAATGCTTTAACATGAGACCCAGCAGTACTTCAGTCTTGCAGAAGCCAGCATGATTTGGACACTACATCCATCTGCAACCTCTCAAGTTTTACTGCTAAATATAATTTTTTTTTGTCCAAATAAACCGTGCTGAGTGGCATTGCTTTTGCTTGGAATAAACGTTCTCTACTCCAAGTAAAAGAAGTCTTTGCCTTTTTATTCCATGACTGGAAGACAGACACATGACACAGTGGGCAGTGGCGGCTGGTCAAAAGGGGGCGCTAGGGCACTGCCCCACCACTAGTTTTTTGTACACACAAAAAAAATAAAATAACTAAATAAAACGTTATAAATGTTTCAAAAAATATGTTTTCTGATAAGTAAAATAAATAATTTAGAGTTATTGATGTGTAAACTTCCATTTTACTCATGAGCTTTTTCGTGTTGAGTCACTTCCGGGTCACGAATGGTTCAACGCCCCAGACTCCCATAGACAAGTCATTGGAAGATTTTGCACATGTGCAGTAAGTCCCCAATGCAAAAGTATAGGGTGGCCTGTGGCGCAGCTTGTCACCGCCCCGCAGCTGACCTCTGGTAGTGGGTCCACCCTGTCGACGACTCGACGTCATATTAATGCGACAGCCGGCAGGGCTTCAGGGCTTGGGGTGGCTGTGGTGTAGTGGTAGAGCAGCCGGCTTTGGGACCCGCAAGTCACAGGTTCAACTCCCCGCCATGCCTACATGCCGTTGTGTCCTTGGGCAAGACACTTCACCCACCTTGCCTACTGATGGTGGTCAGAGGGGCTGGTGGCGCAGCATGGCAGCCTCATTTCTGTCAGTCTGCCCCAGGGCAGCTGTGGCTACAATGTAGCTTACTGCCATCAGTGTGTGAATGTGAGTGTGAATGAATGATGCATGAAAATTATAAAGCGTCTTTGAGGGTCTCGAAAACCACTATATAAAACTAATGCATTATTATTATTATTCAGGAGGCAGATTTTGAAGAACAACAAACGGGAATGAAGGAGAAAACAACACTGTAAGTTTCTTATATCTAAACCTTTTCAAAGCAGAACATATGAGGAGAAACTTAAAGTGAAGTAGCTTGGACCGGATAAGCCAAACATAATTAAAATTGAGCAAGAACATGTTTAGCATTAAGACTTGATTACATGCTGTTAGTGTTAGCCAAGTTGTAACAACTGCTCAAAAAAGAAAAGGTCCTAGATCTGAATGAAGGAAATATTCTCATTGAATACTTTCTTCTAAACAAAGCTGAATGTGCTGACAGCTTGTGAAATAGTTTATCATCAGTGTTACTTCCTAAATGGACATTTTGATTTCACAGAAGTTTGATTTACTTGGAGTTAGATTGTGTTGGTGTTCCCAAATGGTGAACAAAACTTAATAAAATATAAAAATATTTTTTAATGTTTTAGTTTTTTTTTATAAATTACTATTGTTTGAATTTATTCTTTAAAAAGGGGCAGATATTAAAAGATGTTTTTCTTCTTTCTGCTGCCATTCATTTTATTTATATATATTCTTCTTCTGTTGTGCATAGAGTTTATTTTGTTTTTTAATAAAATGAATACATTTTTAAAATAAACATAATGTAATAGTTAACCTTAGAGCTGCAACAATTTGTTGCTATTAAAATAACATCATTTGTTTTCATATTAAATATATACCAGAAAGCTCACTTGTAGCCATCTCCACATTGAATTAAATTTGTGCATTTATTGTTTTAGGTTTGTGACAGCATCTTGAGCCATTCACAAAACATCTGATCAGAGCTACAGTGCTGCAGGCAGATAGGTTCCTGCAGGATCACAGACAATTTTCTGAAGTAGCTCTGAAGACCATGGAGGCTCACTCAGTGCTGAACAGGACCAAGAAGTTTGATCTAGTTCTGGAGCTGCAGTGGTGCTGTGACTCTGTACCAGCTCTTCATGGAGAACAATCTGCAGGACACCTTCAGAGACTGTGACTCTGCTGAACATTCTCATCACATCTCCTCTGACCACAGCTGAATCTGAGAGGAGCTTCAACACTGAAGAGATTCCAGACTTTCCTCAGGTACAACATCACATCTCACTGCACTGACCATGCTCTCTATAGAGAAGAATCTGGTTAAAACGTCCCTGACTTTAACCAGCCATGAAGAAATTTGCTTCTCATTAACAGAAGAGAAAATTTTATGTACAAAAAATAACACAATACATGACATTGTAATGCTATTTTATTATTTTCATTTGTTTAATAAATACACTGGTGTGACACAACTTAGTACGTTTAATTGCTTTCTGAGATACGTCTATTTTGGAGTTGTAGCCCCACCTGGAGAAAAATCCACCAGCCGCCACTGCTTTTGGGGGATGTTTTTATGATGACATAAAATGGTGAATATGCTAAATGGTAAATGGAATATGGAATATGTTGTTGCAGACATAAAAGGCGCTTTTTTTGCCTGGAGCAGGGCCAGTTCTGTGGGGACTGGTTCATGTGGATTAGAGAGTTTGAAATGCCTGAACTCTGTAAACAATCTGCCGTCACAATCACATCAATTCACTCGGCTGCGGTTTGTGTGAAATGCCAAACGTGAAATGGCTTTGGCAGATAGACTTTGTTTTCTTCTCGTTTTTGCCTACAGCCTGAATCAAGACCAGTGTGCCAAAGTATTAAAAAAAACTCTCAAGAGAGAGACAAAAACCAGACAAAACAAACTTAAGGTAAAATATTTTTATTGATTCTTAGTAACAGAACACTTGCTGGTTCTGGTTCATAAGAATATGCATTGAATTACTGGGTCCAGTTGTTGTGAAATGCCCTGAATGAATGGTTTTGTTTAAGACGGAGCGTCTGCATCGAGGGGTCTGGCAGGAGAAAACAGCTTTAGAGTTAGATAAGACTGGGGAGGACAAGTGTCTAGAGTAGCAGATTTCAAGTTTTATAGAGTAGCTGCTTTTTCCTGGAGGAGCAGGGGAAACTTGTGTAATAACCATTAAATCAAATTAGTTACACTGAGACATAACCAGAAACAGTCATTACAAACCAAAAAGAAAAAATAAGTAGGTCCTCTGGAAGGGTTCTTCTTTAGTGAAACGTTTCGTCTCTCATCCAAGAGACTTCAG